TATTCAGGAGTTGGAAGAGACTGGGATGTTTCCCCTTCATCTGTTAAGCTGGTAGAACATCTCTTAAGTATTAAATGCCAGTAGTGATGATGTTCCTTAGTCAAGGTAGATTTTATATTTGATGCCGTAAGATGCGATTGTGCATTCTCATCAATATTCTCCAATGTTCCCGCTGATTCAGGCTGCTGAGGTTAAGCAATGTTAGGAAAATCACTTCTTTAAAGCAGCATGGGAGTTCTTGTGGCTGCAGAATTAGTTTAGTTGTACTAGTGCCACTCACTGTTGCTATACCTCCCACAACACAGGAAGTGGGGTATTTTCCTGATCTTCACAAGGTACGCATTGCTGCGGAACAGAAAACTGAGTTGCAAGTAGAGAAATTTTGCCATGGGGAAACAAAGAGGATGCTGGTTTCAATGTTACTTGCTTTGAGCCAGAATTGTTCCCCTTATTATCTTTGTACTATTGCTAACAAGTTCAGTTTTGGTCAGGTTATCATGGCATTTCTTGGGGTTTGGCTCTTGTGGTGCATATAAAGAGAAATGCAAATACTCATCAGTCTGTAAAATTTCCCACACCTCAATCTGTTTTATTGTGTGCTTGCTTGGACGTAAATGAATGCTGTCACCTGTCTTTGAGTAGCCAGCCATTGGATGGGACATCTGGCTTTGCTTTTTCAAAGGCTGATGTTCTCCCCATCAATTACAATGAAAATGGCATTATTTCAAGACCTTCCTGAGGACATAGCTTGTCTTTCTCCTCTCTGAACTCGGACTGTACTCAGTACTCAGTTACTAAGAGCAACTTTGTATGTATCAGCCAGTTGTTGATACAAACAGCCTGAAAATGTTAATAGCAGTGGGAAAGAAACTGTTGCCACATCTCTATGTTTCAACTAAAGTTAATTTTGCTAATTTGCCTGCATGTGCTATAGAGTTTTCCTGTATTAATGAGTGCTTTCCTCAATTATTGTTAAAATGCCAGCATGCTATAAAAACATGGGATTTGTGGGGTTTGAACTTCAATATGACTTTATCACTGAATTGGGCCAGGATTTTATTCATGTGCAAGAGCATCTTTTACTCTGCTTTGACCTGTCTTAATTGTTTTACATTTCAGGTTTGATATTTACTATATTCTTTTTATTATTTACTCAGTACTTTTGCTGTAATTCTTCTTTCAGTTATATTTCTATTCTCTGCTAATACCACAGCATACATAATACCATCAAACTCATTTTTGATCCTGGTCAAACAAAATAGTCTGGGTCTGCTTTTACAGCAGTAAATCTTGGTTCATCATATGCCTTCACAACAGTAATCAGAGATTTTCTACAATCCTGAAATGCCTGAAACTTTTTTTTTTTCAGGAAGCTAAAGCTTGTAGCATTTTATATTGCCATAAATTATTTTTGTCCCGTGTAGCTTGAGCTACTTTCCCTCTCCTACCTGTTTGCTTTCAAGACCTATTTTGCTTTGGTGCTAATGCCTGTTAGGTCTTTTTATGAAAAAAGTTAACTCCCTAGCCCTGGGGAAGAGAAGTTAATTTTTGTCTGGGTTAATGAATTATCCCACTCAGCAAGAGTCTGATGAATGTCAGAGCTGGCAGGTAGACAGAGGCCAGGGAAAGTATTTGAGAGAATAAGAAAACCCATTTTAGTCTCCCGAGGCTGCCTCGTGTAATTTCACCTCATTTTACAGCATTTACTTGACTTTGTTAGAAAAGGCAAAAGAGTGTGGTTAGTTTCTTTGAGCTTCCCTTCTTGCTTTCCAAATAGACTGTGAGAGATATTCAAGTTAAAAATTATTTATTCTGATAGTTATTTATTTCATTTGGCTATATCATCTAAAGGTTTTGATTAAAGCTACAGATTAAACAGAGTACGTTGTTTCATTGTTGTATTTTTCTTTCTCTTAATAACTTTTCTGTTCTTGAAGTCAGGGAAACATAATCTGCCATGTGTCTATTTGACTTGTTTGCTACCTCACATTAACATCCTTCCTGAATAACCTTTACCAAAGATGAGCATCAGTGTTCACTGTTTCTGTGGCATTTTTTAAAATTACTTTAGAAGGTACCTTGTGAGGTGTGGCTAGGAGTAATCCATGATTCATTAATTCAATTCAAGCATATTATCTGCAAAACTTAATAATAAAGATTCAGGTTAAACCACATTAATCCTGATAGTTTTCTTCATCTCTCTACTCTGTGAAACAAGTGAGTTCTCCATAAGCTCATTCAAAAAGTATTTTCTGATCATGTGGGTTTAGTACAGCATAAAGAACTATGGGGGATACTTAAAGAAGACCTAATGTGACACTTCCAGGGAAAGCACTACAAAACCTGATGTGAATTTGTGTAGAAGACTAACTCTGATGTGAAGGGAAATCATGGATAACTTTCTGCTTTTGAACTCCATGAAAATACTCTCCACCCTGTTGGTATATTAATTATGTGCTGACAGTAAGGAGTTGCATCATCTCTTGACCACGGTAGGTAATTTTCACTCTCTTCATAATGTTTCAGTTGATATTTCTAAAGCATATAGTGTGAAGTTACTTAATCACTCAGTAATTACTGCAGTCTGTAAAAAAGGAAAATTGGCAAATGCATACATTTTTTTAATGTATTTTGAAATACATAAACACTGGCCTGTTCTCTTACAATCTACTCTGTTACTCTGCTGTGAACTTCTGCTAGCTGAGGGAGGCATAACTTTTCACTGACTGAAGTTATTAAAACCAGGCTGACACCAAACCTCTATGAACAAATTGGACGGGAGAAAAAAGGGGGTTGGCAAGGAAAAGTTCTTTAAAAATAGAATTTCTGTTAATTGCAGAGTTAGTACATAAAGCATGGAACTAACTCCAACAGTTTTTCTATGGCCTTAACTGAAGGATCTGTAGCTAACTGTTTTCTTCTTTTTGGAGGTGGGATGGAATGTGCGAGTCAAAGTAAAAGCCATAAGGAGGAATTGTCATTGCTTTTCCCAGAAATATAAAAACTATGCTATAAACTTAATCTCTTATATTTTACACCAACCAACATGTATGTTCAATAAATCTAGAAGGTAAATGCATTTCTACTTAGGTGCTTATAAAATGCAGAAGTTACGATTCTAGGTAACAAGGTGAAAATGTTAAATTGGTCTAGTTGTTTCATTGGCATTGGGACTATCCTGTTCCTTGTCAAGTGCAGAGGATGAACTAAAGCTGTTTGATAACAGCACAAAGTGAGGCATGCTCTCAGCTTTGTCCTCAGGAACAGTGGATGAGTCAGAAAAGTAGAGCGAGAGGGGCTTAGTGCTGTTCCTGCTATCACATTTGTACCACTATCTAGGTAGCTTCACCATCGTTTTAAACTGGAACAGATCGTTCCAAGGGTGCCCTCTGTGGGAGATGAGTGGGCTTAGGAATCCAGATGAGACACCACCACCACCACTAAAGATGTGAAAGAAGGGCTAGGGTGTCTTTTCCCCAAAGCTATTAGTTGGCCTGAAGTAACATATTACCTATGGCGAAGGAGGACTCCGAGCTAAAGGCACAGAGATCTTTGCTGGATTGTCCCTTTGGGGAGCAGCTGCTTTATGCAAAACAGTAAAGCATGCTCTTGAAGCCTATTACTTGAAGATGCAAGCTCTGAGCATGCTAAAGAATTTACACGTTATCCAGATTATTTTTATAGGAATGTACTAGTGTTACCAAATACCTGTTCTTGATTTCTGTAGTCAGTCTCTATCACACACTCAGAGTAAAGAGCACAAATATACTGCCTGCCACATTTAATGTAACAGAAGCAGAGGCATGGGCCTGAAAGGCTTTCTTGATTACTTGCTGTCATGGTTGTTCCAGTCTTGGTGGTCCCAAAATTCAAATCATATTGTTTGAATGAGACATTAAAGTATGAAACACATGAGAGATGAACAAATGTGAAAAACATGAACTAGAATACTTCTAGTTTTATAACCACAAACCTGTGAGAAAGCTATTAGGTCTTCTTGTACCTATCTCTGTCAAACCGAGGAGCTCCTGCTAAACTTCTGTTCCCCACCGACTGATACTAGAACACAGGTGTTAATCTACACACAGTGGGCACCTCGATTTTTATTTTGTTTTCTTTTATAAGCTGCGTTCCCTGATTGTTACAGCTCTTCTCTGGGGATATTTTTTTCAAATAGCGGATGTTGAAATAAATGCAGCAACAAATGTAGCAGCGCCCAATACCGAGGGAATACAGCTGCTCGGGAGTTCCCCATGGCAGGTGCTGCTGCCACTCACCTCCTTCTCAATCGCTGCCTCCCGGGAGAGCGCCCCAGGCTCGGAGCAATCTCTCACTCGGTATCGGTTCACCGGCGCTGCAGGGGTTTGCCCACCGCGCACTGCTTTACAACACGGCGGCGCTTCCTTGGGGGAATGTCTCTTCCTCTTCACCGCCCACCGCTAG